ACACCGCGACCCGAGAGAGAAGGCGGCCGTTGAAACTGACTGACCCCTTTTTCAAATTTTTTCAAGAAATCGTGCCTATCAACTGCATACCTCTATTGGCTGTTTCAAAATCTTCACCACTTCTTCGGCAAGACAAGAGAAATAAGACGACTTGGAGCCTTCCTTGGTTACTGGGTCGTCGATGCCTAAGCTTAGCAGATAGGATTTCAGCTGCACAGTCTAAATACTGAAAATTTTCATAATGTATAAATTAGAAATTTAGCCATGCTTAAACCTCGTCGTCAGAAATGGCTCCTCGTTTCGCACGAATTTCCTCAGCTATATTCTTCGCTAACACCACCATTTCCTTTGCCTAACGAAAGCGAAAAAAGATCAAAATTTGTATCACAATAATAAGATCAAATTAATATTTTCATGCAGCCTTTCAGACTAATGACGATCGTATCGCAACCTAGAAATATACCTGCTTATTAAATCCTTGTATGAATTTAAAGTTTAATAAAGTTAAATGTACAAATGAAAATTAACTCTAAACACAGTTAATATCAGACATATGGTAAGTAGGAACTAATGACATTTCAGCAAGTTCATAGAAGATGAAACACAAAACAAAACGACACAATAAACAAAAGAGAAGACATGCACAAGACCATTCATGACAAGTTCGACTGTACCAGTCTGCAAGAACGTATACGCATGTCCATGTTAGACTGGGGCATACATTGGGCGCTTACAAGATTTAGTTCTGGTGTACATACTGCGCGAATTGAACGTATTGCACATTTTATTTACCGCTGTCTACAACGTCACATCATTGATGAGTAGTATGATCAAGAATCATATTGATAAGGTTATTGTGGAGACGATAACGTCCGTCAAGATTGCATTCGTTGATACGGCAGACCCGCTGCTTTGGCAAAACGTGTTAAGCAATGACATAGAACATCATAATCGTTTGCCGATAGTGCTCTGATGAACACGGATGCTGCATACGTGAGTACGAGGACTGGCTGTGTAGAGTTCAGTCGTCTTTTGTTCTTTGCACATAAATGCGTATCACTTTGTGGGAATGGACCACATGAGGTTACACGTAATACTCATTGTCCTGTACGACAGGGCATTTCTGACCAATGGAGTAGAAACATAGATCAATCACACCGCACCATAAGCTCTATGGAAAGAAGGGTAAAAAGATGGTGCCAAACAATGCACTATAAGGGAAAATAAACAGTAACAAACATTCCTTTTTCGTTTAGTTGCCAAATCGTTGTCTATCAGCTAGATAACAGAATAGTCGGCTTGTAGAGTCAGACGTCGTCAGCGAGCTTTACAAAGCGACGTCTATGAAATGTGGATTGTTCATACAGAATGCCCCTAGCGCAGATTTTCTACTACGATAGAGCATTACCATGCAAGTTGAACTTTAATATCAGACGAGAGGGATTACGACTGATCACAATGGCATAATCAGACCAAATTTTCTAACAAAAATTCAAACTATTAGTCACATAGCGGTACCATAAAGATCTTGCAGGAATTTGTGGGTTCTCATATACTTTTATATTGATCATATATAGGTAATCCCGGTATTTTGGGGTCACTAGCAAACTGCCAGCTTTCGACTACTTCTGGTATTCTACGTATTGTCGGTAGTTAGAATACAGTAAGTAAAGCGGGCCTTGTGCCCAAACTATGCGCCCTCCATATAGTACTTAAAAACAAACCTCCAAAATCTCGAACCATTAGTGGCACGAGCCACTAAAGTACTTTCTTGCACAATGCAACTTGGACAGTCAGCCAGTCAATCAGTTTCAACGACTGATTATCCTTTCGTGTCGTGGAGGCAGACGTGTGAGACAGTGTCTCTAACGTCCTCGATCCTGTGTTAGAGTTTGAGTTTCGGCAGAAGATAACCCGCATCTGAAGCAGACATGGATCGTGCCAACCGAAGGAGAAGCACCGTAAGTAGACATATGTCCGGGCGACACGTGCAGAAAATTTGAAGTTCTATTCCCGTGACCTTGTTTATAAATCTAACGTATAATTATAAATGAACTACAGAATAGTAATCAATGAAATACTTTAACGTATCATATTCTTGCTGTAAGCAGCGAGGATTTTTAATTAAATAGATGGATGGAACTCAGAAAGGAAGGAAAGAATGGCGGTTGGATACCGAATGGATAGATTGTAAAATGAATGAAGAAAGGAACGAATGTATGAAGATTGCCATCCTGTTTGATTTGGTCAGCAGAGTTGACAACATAAGAAAAAAATTGAGCGCATGATCAACATGAATCGTCTCGGTTCAATAGAACTGAAAAATGCTTAACATGAGGAGAATTTTTTCAAGTATAGTGAGTCACAGTCTAAGTTCTCAGGCATGTATTTGGTATTTAGACGTTTGAAGCAAAGCTTGTACAGTTAAGAACGCATAAAAAGTAGGTAGGTCACAGTCATACCGAACCCATCAACTTTGACAAATCTTCAAAGGCTTGATTGACGCTCTGCGAATTTTTTTGAGATTTTTGCATCATCTGACGCTCTATACTGACGATGCCGGCTCTTGATTTCCGTTCTGCAAATTTTATCATATCTTGAAACAGAAGTCACTAAAGCATGTTAGTACCTGGTCCTCTCGAAGACATGACTGCAACAGGAAATGACGAATATAGTTTTATTCCTCTTCAAAATTCTTTAGAAATGCGGCACTTGAATCATGAATTACCCAGAAATCCGAACGTTGTTTTCCAGCACATGATCATGCCTCGTAAAACCTATATACCTCAACCATGTTGCTAAGAACTGCACTGTTCGCGCTAATAATGAGAAACACTCAAAGAATCCAAATCTAAAACGATGTATGCAAAATATACTTTCGAAGAATGCAGCATCGCAACAACAGCGAGACGTTCTGATGGACAAATCATAGTAACTCTGGAGAAGCACACCACGACGCATATACGCAGTTAATAAAAAATGCACAACTCACCAACCACTTATCAAATGCGCAAGCTGATTCTTCACTGTTCTTCTATCCAGATGCCCAATACCTTAATGTTCTCAAGTACAGATTTTCCATATAAAAGATTCGTTCCGGCCAATAATTACTGAAAAGTTCAGATGCCATGATATTTTAAGAACCTTGTTTCTGCATTACCTAATCCTAATCTGACATATGCATATATGCAGCAATATATGCTTCCAACAGGCCATGTATCAAATACTACACTCCTGAAAGTTTGCCTCACATTTATAATATTGCCGAAGTGATTAGTAGGATAACAATGGTAATTGTCAACTTTATATAATAAACTGGCGGGAAATCCAAGCCTTTTTCTTTCTGACTAAGCCCAATTCAAATTTGTTACGATGCGCAACAGAGCAGCACCAGTACAGTAACAGAGTTCCACAAACAGAGACCTGCAAGTACATTATTAACTTATAATGAAAGTGTACTGTACAGAATCTTAAAATTAACCTTATTAAAATTCTCCGCTACTTCATTAAAAAAGCTATTGTAGAGAAATTCGCCGCTAAGATCTAATCATCATAAAGTTTTGCATTTAATCACGTACAAAAAACAATACATTATGTAACAAAATAACTATGAAACAGGGTATTGATTCGTTGCCTGTTTGAAAAACAGTTACTGGTCTTCGCTTCTCGATTCAGATTCAAAGCAGTGCTTAATAACGACGATATGAAAATTTGTTGCCACTAAATGGGTAATAAAATACAAGTTAATCAAAAAATAAATTAATAATGAACAAAGAGTTTCTATCAAAGAAGTCACGAACTAAATCGTCGTTGCCGACACGCTGAAACACAACTACATTATATACGATATTCTTCTGGGGAAATTTTCAGTAGCTTTCGGTGATTGATTTGAAATTTGCCAACGGTTCTGAGACTTTTTGAAAGCATAATTATCTGGCTCTTTGCCTTCATAATTCATTTCCCTTGATTACATCGCGAGGAACAGCAACGACCAAACAAGTGGATGGAATCAAATTGTTATATGGTAAAGTGAGTGAACAGAAACAGAAGTTAAAACATTTTTCAGCCACAGTAGTAGTCACGAAAATACGATATGAATTCCAAAATAGCTCTTTATGCCCCAGTAAACTGGATTTGCAGATCTTCCTATATCCTTAAAATATGCATAAAATTTTCACTGTAAAACTGATCAAAATGATTGGAACTGTCATCTGCCTTAATACTGAAAAAATAGTTGATAAACATTCTCATGCCTATTGTTTCAAAGAAAATTCATAAATTATTCGCAAGACTGATAGAAGATAAGGGGGGCGCTACCTGGAGAATGGTAGCAATATATGATTCTTTGTGAGTTTGACAATTAAAATACGATGATTAGAGTCAGATAATAAAATAAGAAATAGCACTGATGTTCACGGGTTGCTTACACAAGTGGAAGCGGAGAGTCAAATAATGTTGCTTCCATTCAAGCGTCTTACGGCCATTGTTCAGAACGAGGCATTTGCCATCAGATTTTCATGATTGTTTTAAAGTGGCTTTCAACCGAATGTTCCGATATGGCTTGATAGTTGTGGCTGGCGATCTAAACGCCCAGGTGGACAGCGACAACAGTTGTTGGACTCAACTGCGGAGGAGAAATGAACCAGAAGTAGCAAATAACAATGGATTTCGCTTAGCGGACTTTTGCGCGATAAATAGTCTCATTGTCAGAGATTCGTTATTTCGATACACGTGGATCCATCAGACCACTTGGATTCACTGGATGGAACATGCCAGGGCAAGATCGCTTAGCCAGAAGTGGCGCAGCGGCTACTGGATACTCAGGTCAGAGACAGCGCTTCCATCAGTTAAAATCATTATCTGGTGTCGCTGACCTGCGGCTTAAACTGGTCAGTGAGGGTAGATGAATGGCATCAGAGCAGCATGGCGTAAGTGATGTGAAGTGGCTAAAGTCAAGGTCTCGTTCCAGCAGAAATTGACCCGAAAATTCAGCTGTCAAGCTGAATGAGGCAACGTCCAGATAGATATTAATGACGAATATGAAGAGTTCCGTGAATTTGTTGTCGACGTAGTCAAGCTAATCAGCGAGCTCAGAGTATAGTTGAAAGAGATGAAACCCTTGCGTTGCGAGTATAGAGAAACGCAGCCAGAACCTTAAAGCTGAAATTGCGGACCGCTGACTCGATAAAGGCCCACTGACGTCTTTTCATGGAGGTGAATAGAAAGTACTGCCGTA